CGCATTCTCACCCGACTCGCGGTTTGATTTGCACACAGATCAGAAGCACATACCGAAAGGAAGTTCAAAGGTACACACCTGCATTTTCCTCAAACAAACTGAACTGAACTAAACTAGCTGGTGCCATGTATGGCGGACGACACGTCCTCTGCCACGGCGGGAAACGTCGAGACTTGTTCTCCGAACCTAGTGCAGTAGCGAACAAATAAACAACATCGGCGAAGCACTAAGGTGGCCGAACTTGCGGCAGCATTGAGGAGGAAAGTCAGATCGCAGCTCATACTATGGGACCCGACTAAAACTTTGAGTTTGATGAGGCCGAAATCTTCGTAAGAGCTGGCAACTGTGTGAGCCATCAATTCCTCGAATCTTGGTTCTCTGGTTCGCATCCTGGTAATAAGTGCAATGACCCAACGGCTCCTGGTTCTGTGCTGAGACATTGCCTAGACACAGGATGGACGGCCAGTAACAGCGAGCCATGTTGCAGTCTTCGTCACGCAAAGAATCGAAAACGGTGCGTAAGGTTTCGACAATAATTAACTCGCACGTGGGCTTACGACCAATCATGGCGTCACGTACGACCACCAACGATGAATGCAGACTCTGCTAGTTGGACTAGGTACGTGGCTACATGACGACGGTGTCCTTTAAATACAGTAGCCCTGACGCCCTCAGCCCCTCTATATGTGCGTGTGTGCACCTGTGCGGACATAACTACTCCATGCGTGTCCGTGTTTGAGCGTGGTGGCGCGCATAGGTGCGGCCTCGGCCATGCCAGCCACCTTCGCTTTCCCCCATTTCCGGTCTTCTTTATTTTTGTCTTGACATCGGGTACAGGTGGGAGGTGAGTGGGGAACGAGTGAGGTAGATTCTGCGCGAGTCTACTTTCACTATAATCCAGCGCAAGTCACCACATCTACATTCAGCTTGTTGAAGCTCGTGGTGGACATTGTCGAAATCGACGGTTGAAAAGGTCGTGTGTGGTACACCTAGACGGACGGTGGTTAGCTTTGCTAACCAGTGTCCCGCACGTATATCTGTTCGTCCTGTCTCTTGCCGTCACAGTACGTCGGATGAGGGATCAGAACGTCAGGTGGTCGTATCGCCTTCACTGCAAATAACTCACGCGCAAACCGCTGTTGGGCCCACCTCGTGTTCCGACGCCGCACCTCGGCGTTCGCAACTGTCGAACTAGCTTAGGCTACTGACCCGGAAGTTGAGTGCACGCCCGAGAGCTCAGCCCACGCCTGTCCATTAATCAGGTCGCCAAGTCTGGTCATCGTAGTGACGTGGATCGATAAAGGGGGAGGGGGAGAGTCGACTATCAGGCCGGTGGCCGCAATCAGCTGCCAGTACTTGTCCTCGCACAAACTCGCAGCCAGATGGAGACAATACTAGCCGAGTCTAACATGCGTTGAGGCGGGTACCAAGTACAAAATACTGACTTCACGAAAAGAGCTGAATGTTTACATTCCAGGTCTATGTATAAGTAGGGAAGAAGAAGAAAGCTGTTAAATGGTCAGAATAGTTTCTTCATTCATGTGCATTTTCGAATCCTTACTGGAGTCCATCGTCAGGGATAAAATCCGCAGCAAACATCTGTAACGTCAATTCGGAAGTGACGGCGCAGATCAATATATCGAGTGACTGAGGTCTCGTCGGACGATGGACACTAGAAATAATTCGAAAACTCCGTTAAATAAAGGAATGATTACGGGGAGCAAACGGCCTACTCCTTCCCTTCTTATACAATTTCGGCCTAGTTGACAGTCATTGGAAGGTTCATCCGTCAACCGTTTTAACTTTGTTGGTAGTAACATGAAAAAGCTATAAAGAGCTGAATGAAAGTTTCATCAGCTTTTATGAAGATTAGGCCTTCTGGTAACTAATGAGACATGTACAATAGGTAACGCGCCTCATTTCACATGCACAGTGCTGCTGTTCGACTTTCATCGCAGCAGGGACAAGTTTCACTGTAAGCCCAAATCAACCAGCCTGTGAACTTTCAGAGGTAAGGTCATCTTAAGCGTGCAAGAGAGCCAGTTTATAGTTGCGTTTCCAGATTAGCTCTTTCCGTGATAAGCAAAATGTCAGGCAGTATCTGCTTTAGCTAAAATGCTATGCAACGCAGGTGTGAAGACCATAGACCACAAAATTAGGATCGTAGAGAACTCATAGAAAGTCCACTCGATTAAAAATGGCTGTTAATGGTTTCGTTAATAAAGCGCCACCCTCATTAAACAAGATTGAATAACGCTAGACAATCCATCCGCTGCAATTTTGTTGTATTCTTGGAGGATAACCTAGCTTATCTGATCTATGGCTTTGGATAATCCCTTGTTAGGTATTTCAAAAAGAAGAAATGCAGGAGAATGCAATCAAAAAGCTTACACGGCCATTCAGTGGTCCTTCTCGTCCAATTCACTGGCTATCCATCTCGTGTGTAGTAACGCACAATGCAGACATAATAAGGAGTGACCCGTCTGGTTGAAACCAAACATGCTGGCGTTTCCTACAACTGTTGAATGCGTTATTTCTTGCAAAAGTTGATGACAAGTCAGAATTAATATAAAAAATAAATTGACCAATCTTAATAGCTATTCCAGCGGTTCCTTCAATACATGCTGAAGTCCCGAGCTTCGTATCATCCTGTTCTCATGTCAGAACAGAGCAGTACAAGTTGCCGTTATTCAACAGTGGGGTTTACATAAACCTTCCGTTCGTACCAAATTTGGTTTCATCAGTGAGGAGCTTCCCCTACATTTTTTCTTTCTGCTAGAAACCACGAAGATAATTAGGTATGGATGACCTTACTGCCGCTTACACAGGGCACGGAAATTGGAACGAACAGCCCAGTTAGAGCAGATGGCCTTGCGATAAATTTCAGGAAGGGTACCTATTTGTTGAAAGGAGTGATCGTCGACTACAGAAGGGTCCCTCAAGTCAAAAGTCAGGTAAGACCGATTAGGTTGTACAGTACACTGTAGGAAAGGAACTAACAAAGAGGCTCTGCAGAAACAAGCTGTTCACACTATAAATGCCAGCTGCTGTGTTTGTGTGCCTGTGCGGGCAGGATTAGAGGCAACCCGAGACATGTCCTGCACCAAATCAATAAATGGATCACACTGAATGGTGGACAGGGTGGGCGGTATTCACAGCAGATCGGGGTAGATTGCCAACACGCAGAACCGTAAGGCTTTGCGGGGGAGGCACGGTGAGTCACGCGGATCCCTGCAGCGAGTCGGCCATGAGAGTGGGCAGCAGCACAGAGCTTGGCGATGAGGAAAAGGTGAGTCATTCATTGTAGTGCCACATATTCCGTGTTTTAACCCTAACACTAACCTTAACATGGACTCGACCCAATCTCAATCCTACTCTAAACCTAAACCTTACAGTTAACAACAACTCAAA